GTCACATGGTGTAATGAGGGCAGGGACCCCAGGGATGGAGCACCCCGTCACCAGCAAGGCAGGGATGATGAAGGAAGGTGGGACAGCAGGGGGTCCTCGTGGCACATGGTGACACCTTCTGCTGACAGCTGAAAGGCTGGTGTGGTTTAAACCCAGCGAGCGGCTCAGCCGCCTGGTGACCTATTCCATGAACACCACAGCCTAGGAAACCCAAAGGGGCAGTCCCCATGGGTCATCAGGCGTCCAGACTCACTGGACAGCCCCTAATGACTGCACCAGGGGACAGCACAGCCCCTTCTTAAACTGGAACAGAATCTCAGCGCTTGGTGGAGGCAGGCCACCCTTGTCCTGGTCTTGGGACACAGCAGACGACGCACAGAGTGGGTGGTGGGGCGTGCACACTTAGCCAGGTGGACAACAGCCCCAGAAGAGAGCGTTGGATGGACAGGTCATCGGCCAGTGGGCAGGTACATCTGGGGCAGTGGTGATAGCAAATTATTTTAGCAACCAGTACGCTGCCCTCCTGGCCACTTTTAAGATTAAAAAAAAAATGATATACCTAAAAGTAGTTTGTTATTTCATACTGTTAATACTTAAATAAGAACAATGAAAGAGGTGCACAGACTAGATAGATTATGTGACAAGAAAGGGCTGTCCAGACGGAAGTTTGAAAAGAATAAGAATGTAAATCTGAGATTTCTACATTGGGCGGCTGCCCAGCTTAAGGAGAACCTTGATTACAGGTGCCGTATTAACACGCGGCTCACTGAACTCAACCAAAAATTAGGTATCAGTTCTCCCAAACCAGTGCAAACTGGCTGAATCTCAGCGCTGGTCTGACGGTTCCGGGAGGGTCCAGGTCTGCTCTCCCCTGTCAGGGCCCACTCAGGCAAAGAGGCCAGGCCGTCTGTCAGGAGTCAGCAGCAACGGGGTTGATCTTATTCTCTCTCGGACTCCCCACCCAGTCTCTAGAACAGCAGTTCTCAACCTGTAGGTCGAGACCCCTTTGGAGGTCGAACGGCCCTTTCACTGGGGTCTCCCGATTCATAACAGCAGCAAAATGACAGTGATGAAGAAGCAACAAAAATAATGTTATGGTTGGGGGTCACCACAACATGAGGAACTGTATGAAAGGGTCCCAGCATGAGGAAGGCCGAGAACCACTGCCCTAGGACACAGGCCTGGCTCGGGATGGCCTTAAGGACATACGGTCTTTCCTCACTCTCATCAGGGCCAGTAGATGCAAGGTCATCCCAAAGTCGATTCCACATCACTGAGCGATGATGGAACAGCGGGGCAGCTTCAACCCCTAGTGAGTCACTCCACCTCAGGTCCAGGGGAGTGTAATTTAGTGTTTCATCAGGGGCTGTGGGTCAGGTTCCCCTACCAGAAAGCCAAGTCAGAATCCACAGATCCCGACTGCTTCCATCATCAACGCCTACATCTAAAAGTGCTAAGGAACACTACCAAGCAACTAGGAGCTCAGGTGGTGTAGTGGTTATGCGCTGGGCTTGCCAACCACAAGGCTGGCAGTTTGAACCCATCTGCTGCTCCGTGGGAGGGAAACAAGGCTTTCTAGTCCCATAAAGATTTAGCGTCTCAGAAACCCAGAGGGCACTGTGGGTCAAGACTGGCTGAAAGCCAGTGAGTTTGGTTTGGGTTCAGGACCAAGCATCTCTAGGGGGGAGTCCTGGTGGCATCGTGGGTTAGGCTACAAAGTCAGCAGGTTAGCACTCCCCCAGGTCCCAAAAGATGGGGCTTCACCCCTGTGAGGGTTTACAGCTCCGGAAATGCTGTCCTAGAGACTGTGAGCCAGAGCGGGTTTCTGTTTTACCAAACCAGGCCTCTGCATGAATGAAGCCCTGGAGAGGCTCCACATTCCTGACTCTCCTGTGGGTTTAAAGACTCCGTAAGCAGCCCCAGAGTGTGAGGACAGGAACAACAGGGTGGGGTGGGGGTGAGGGGTAGTGCCCCACCCAAAGACACCATCGAAGCCACTGACCTGTTCCCACAAAAACCGCTGCCTTCCTATATGCTCTGCTGTCTATAGGCTCCCTGGGGGTGTAGCGGTTACAGATTGGGCTGGGATCCAAAAGGTCAACAGTTTGAAGCCACCAGCAGCTCTGTGGGAGCTAGGTGGGCTGTCTACTCCCATAAGGAATGAGTCTCAGAAACTCACAGGGGCAGCTCTACCCTGTCCTGTAGGGTGGCTATGAGCCGGCATCGACTCGAGGGCAGTGAGTGTGGGGTTTTGGTGTTGAGGTATACAGCCTCGGCAACAACAAAATACACCCTTTTAAAAGAGGAGGAGCAGGGGATGGGGAAGAACAATAAATTAAATGCTATGAACTCAAACCCGCTGTCTTCGAGCTAAGCCCGACTCACAGGGCCCTACGGGGCAGAGGACAACTGTTCCGTGGGGTTTTGAGTTTTGAGGCTGTGAGTCTCTATGGGAACAGAGAGGCCCCTCTTCTCCCCGGAGCGACTGGCAAGGTCAAACTGCCGACATGATTATCAGCCCGACCTCCAACCGGGCAAGACCAGGGCTCCTGGAGAGTCTCTCCGGCACCAGGCTCGCTCACCAAACTCCTGCCCTCCAGTCCATTCTGCCTCATAGCAGCCTTACAGGGCAGCGGTTCTCAACCTGTGGGTCGCGACCCCTTTGGGGGTCAAACGACCCTTTCACAGGGATCACCTGATTCATAACAGTGGCAAAATTACAGTGATGAAGTAGCAACGAAAATCATTTTATGGTTGTGGGGTCACCACCACATGAGGAACTGTATTAAAGGGTCGTGGCACTAGGAAGGTTGAGAACCACTGCTGTAGGGCAGTGTGGCAGGTACATAATCCTCTGTCAACCTAAGAAGGGGTAGAGCATAGCCTGTCAATCAGGTCTCAGCTTGATGACCTCATTTGGAGGCGCTATGGAGATAAATAGATCCGTGGGGGTGGGACACACACATTCCCTGAGAGACATTCCTGTTGACAAGACACATGGAGCTGGGGCTATGCTAGAGCCCTGGAGCTGGAGGAGCCACGTGGAGACCCACACCAGCACTGAGATGTTTCCACCACCACTGGATCCACAAGACTTTC